AAGAATGCTGATGGGATTTTAATAGGTATTGCATTGAATCTGTAGATCAGTTTGGGTAGTATAGAAATTTTTTTTTTTTTTTTTTTTGAGACAGAGTCTCACTTTGTTGCCCAGGCTAGAGTGAGTGCCGTGGCGTCAGCCTGGCTCACAGCAACCTCAATCTCCGGGGCTCAGCGATCCTACTGCCTCAGCCTCCCGAGTAGCTGGGACTACAGGCATGCGCCACCATGCCCGGCTAATTTTCTGTATATATATTTTAGTTGGTCAATTAATTTATTTCTATTTTTGGTTAGAGACGGGTCTCGCTCAGGCTGGTTCGAACTCCTGACCTTGAGCAATCCGCCCGCTCGGCCTCCAAAGTGCTAGGATTACAGGCGTGAGCCACCGCGCCCGGCCAGTATAGACATTTTAATGATGTTGAGTCTGCCGATCCACGAGCATGGAATGGATTTCCATCTGTTTACATCCTCTGCTATTTCCTTCCTCAGTGTTTCATAGTTCTCCCTATAGAGGTCTTTTAACCTTGGTTAAGTATACTCCTAGGTACTTTAATTTCTTTGTTGCTATTGTGAAGGGTATTGAGTCTTTAATTTGGTTCTCGATTTGATTGTTGTTGGCATATACGAATGCTCTTGATTTCTGTATTGATTTTGTATCCTGAACTTTGCTAAATTCATTAATCAGTTCCAGAAGTTTCCTGGTTGAATCTTTGGGGTTTTCTAGATATAATATATATCATCAGCAAACAGTGAAAGTTTGATCTCTTCTGCCCCTATTTGGATACCTTTAATTCCACTTTCCTGTCTGATTGCTGTAGCCAGGACTTCCAGTACTATGTTGAATAGAAGTGGAGATAGTGGGCAGCCTTGTCTGGTTCCGGTTCTAAGTGGGAATGCTTTCAGTTTTTCCCCATTCAGTATGATGTTAGCTATGGGTCTGTCATAAATGGCTTGTATCATTTTTAGATATGTCCCTTCTATGCCTATTTTCTTGAGTGTTCGTATCATGAAAGGGTGTTGAATTTTGTCAAAAGCTTTTTCTGCATCTATTGAGAGAATCATGTGGTCTTTGTTTTTGCTTCTGTTTATGTGGTGAATTGCATTTATAGTTTTGCGTATGTTGAACCATCCCTGCATTCCTGGGATGAAGCCCACTTGGTCATGATGGATTATTTTTTGATAAGCGTCTGGATTCAGTTAGCTAAGATTTTGTTGAAAATTTTTGCATCTATATTCATTAGGGATATTGGTCTGTAGTTTTCTTTTTTTGTTGGATTCTTTCCTGGTTTGGTATCAGAGTAATATTCGCTTCATAAAAGGTGTCAGGGAGGTTTCCATTCTTCTCGATGTTGTGGAATAGTTTCTGCAAGATAGGTATTAGTTCTTCTTTGTAAGTGTGGTAAAATTCGGGTGTGAAGCCATCTGGACCGGGACTTTTCTTTTTAGGGAGATTTTTAATTGCTGTTTCTATTTCAGCTGTTGAGATTGGTCTGTTCAGGGAATCTATTTCTTCCTGGTTGAGCCTAGGGAGGCTGTGTGTTTCTAGAAATTTGTCCATTTCCTCCACATTTTCCAGTTTGTGTGCATAAAGATTTTTGTAGTATTCATAAATTGTATCTTGTATCTCTTTGGGATCGGTTGTGATATCTCCTTTTTTTGGGAAATCAAGAGTTTCTTTGAACTAAATGATAATGGAGACACATGTTACTAAACCTGTGGGATACAGCAAAAGCATATCTGAGAGGAAAACTGATAGCAATAAATGCTCACATCCAAAAATCAGAAAGCTTAGATATTGACAACCTAATGAATAGACTCACAGCATTGGAAAAATAAAAGCAAACAAATTCCAATCCTAGTAGAAGAAAAAAAATAACTAAGATCAAAGCAGAACTTAATGAAATGGAAAACAAGAGAATTATATGGAAGATCAACAAAACCAGAAGCTGGTTTTTCAAAAAGATAAATAAAATTGATAGCCCTCTTGCTAGACTGACAAGAATTTAAAGGAAAAGGACTCTAATAAACTCAATATGAAAAAGGAGAGGTCACAACAGACACCACAAAAATACAAAATATTATCTTTGACTACTATAAAAAACTATATGTCCCATAATAAGGAGGAAATGGACAAATTCCAAGATTTCGACAACCTCCCTAAGTTCGCCTAGGAGGTAACAGAATTCCTGAATAGACCAGTCTCAAGCGCAGAAATTGGAGCAGTAATTAACAACCTCCCCAAATGGGAAAGTCCCAGACCAGATGGCTACACTCCAGAGTTTTACCAAACATACAAAGATGAACCATACCTATCCTACAGAAATTATTCCACAACATTGAGAATGAAGGTATCCTTCCTAACTCATTCTATGCAGCCAATATCACCTTGATACCAAAGCCAGGAAAGGACACACACACACACACACACACACACACACACGCACACATTACAGACCAATATCCCTCATGAATATAGATGCAAAAATCCTCAACAAAATTTTAGCAAATAGAATTCAGCAGCACGTCAAAAAAATACTTCACCATGACCAGGTGGGCTTTATTCCAGAGATGCAAAGCTGGTTAAACATAAGCAAATGTGTAAATGCAATTTTCCTCATAAATAAAAAGAGGAATGAAGATCATATGCTTCTCTCAATAGCTGCAGAAAAAGCATTTGACAAAGTCCAACACAACTTTATGATAAAAACTGTTAACAAAATAGGTATAGGTGGCTCATACTTTAAAATTATCAAATCCATTTATGAAAAACACATTGCCAATATCATGGGGAAAAACTGAAACCATTCCCACTTTGAATTGGAACTAGACAAGGATGCCCACTATCTCCTCTTCTATTCAACATAGTGCTCGAAGTCCTAGCTATAGCAATCAGGCAAGAGAAGGGTATTAAGAGTATCCAAATGGGGGCAGATGAGATCAAACTCTTGCTCTTCACCAAAGATATGCTATTATATCTAGAAAACCCCATGGATTCATCCAAGAGACTCCTAGACTTCATAAATGTATTCAGTAAAGTCTCATGTTACAAAATCAATATACACAAATCAGAGGCCAATACGCAAATATATGCCAATAACAGTCAAGCCAAAACTCAAATCAAAAACACAATATCTTTTACTATAGCCCCAAAGAAAATTAAATATCTAGGAACATATTTAATGAAAGATATGAAAAACTTATACAAGGAGAACTACAAAATGCTAAAAAGAGACATTGTAGAAGATGTAAACAAATGGAAAAATCTACCTTGTTAATGGATTGATAGAATTAATATCATTAAAATGTCAATATTACCTAAAGTGATCTGCAGAATAAATCCAATCCCTATCTCATAATCATTTTTTACAGATCTAGAAAAAATAATTCTTCACTTTGTATGAAACCGAAAAAGGCCTTTTATAGCCAGAACAATCTTAAGTAAAAAGAAGAAACTGGGAGGCATCAGTCTTCCAGACTTCAAGCTGTACTATAAAGTAATAATAATTAAATCACCCTGGGGCTAGCATAAGAACAGAGGCATTGATCTTTGGAACAGGTCTGAGATTCCAGAGATGAAATCATCTGCATATGGTGATCTAATCTTTGATAAAGGAGACAAAAATATACATTGGGTTAAAGAATCTCTTTTCAATAAATGATGCTGGGAAAACTGGATAGCTACATGCAGAAGAATGAACCTGGATCCGTACCTCTCACCTCTCACAAAAATCCACTCAAGATGGATAACAGACTTAAACCTAAGGCATGAAACCTTAAGAATCCTAGAAGAAGATGTTGGGAAGACCCTTTCAGATATTGGCCTAGGCAAAGAATTCTTGAAGAGCCCCCAAACCACTGCAACAACAAAAATAAACAAATGGGACCTGATCAAATTAAAAAGCTTCTGCACAGCCAAGGAAACTATCATTAGAGCAAATAGACAACCCACAAAATGGGAGAAAATACTTGCTCTCTACACTTCCAATAAAGGTCTGATAACAAGAATCTATCTAGAACTCAAAAGAATTAACAAGAAAAAATCAAACAACCCCATCAACAAATGGGCAACAGAAATGAACACAAACTTTTCTAAAGAAGACAGAATAATGGCCAGCAAACATATTAAAAAATGCTCAACATCACTAAGCATTAGAGAAATGCAAATCAAAACCACAATGAGACACCACCTAACCCCAGTGAGATTGGCCTGTATCTAGAAATCCCAAAACAACAAATGCTGGTGAGGATGTGGAGAGACAGGAATACTCTTACACTGCTGGTGCGACTGCAAATTAGTGCAACCTCTGTGGAAAAGAATTTGGAGATACCTCAAATAGCTAAAAATAAAAATACCATTCGATCCAGCAATAGCATTATTAGGCATCTAGCCAAAAGAGCATAAGACATTCTATTATAAAGACATCTGCACCCGAATGTTTATGGCAGCACAATTCACTATTGCAAGAACGTGGAAACAACCCAAGTGCCTGTCAATTCATTAGTGGATTATTGAAATTTGGTATATGTTTACAATGGAATATTACTCAATTCTAAGAAATGACAGCGAGCTAGCACTGCTTATATTATCCTGGATTGAGGTTAAGCCCATTATCCAAAGTGAGGTGACACAAGATTGGAAGAATGGGCTCCACATGTACTCGCCATCAAATTGGTACTAACTGATTAACACTATGGTGCTCAAAAGGTGGTGGTGCTCACCAGGAATTCAGTGGTTCGGGGGGGAGACCCACATCTGAGGGATGTGGTGAGCATTGTGGAGGGGAAGGGCATACCTCTAACCCTTGCTAGGGAGAGGCAAAGATATAAAATGCAACCAAAATACTTATACTCTCACAGTTTCCTGAAATAAAAAAAAGGAAACTACTATATTTATTTGTCTTGTCTAATAAATTGGTCTTTCCCTGAGATCAATATTGTTTCATGCATAAAATCTGCTTCTCAGTTCTGATGGCTATCCCTTGTGATTATAGCTTGATTTTCCTTAACTGCCAAAGTAGTCCGAAGTACTCGCCAAATTTACCACATCACATGAAGTCACAGCATGCTAAGCACTTGAAACTCAGCAGGTAAATGCTAAAATGCCTACTTGCAACTGTGAACTTCCTCAAGGTCAACAGGAAAAGTAAAGCACAGCAACAGGCATGCCCAGCTTCATCATTCTCATTCACTTGTGCCGAGTCGTTACCACCTTGCTGCCAGCACGCTCAGCAGCTTCTTACGTCAGATGTCCCAATGACTGCAGTCTTCCACACACACATACACCCTGGGCAGTCAGTGATTCAAAGAGTCAATAGAAGGAAAAATGAGAAAAAAAATCAGATTATAATGTAAGCCTTAGTATAAAGTAGGAAGACTGATTTCATAAGCCAAACAAATAGATCTCATAATAATATATTTAATAGTTAATAGGTTATAGATTTCAATACTTATAAATACAAGCATAGATATTCATACAGATATAAATATAAATTAAGTATGCCACATCGAATTAAATTTGGCAATATAGCTTGCCTATAACCATTTCCATGACATCATGCTTTCCTTTATCAGAAGTATGAAGAGAAAGGAACCAAAGATAAAATGAATAAGATTCAAGATAATTTGTAAATATAACCGTGTATAGGACAGCCAATGTCTTAGTCCATTTTGTTCTATTAAAATACCACAGAGTGGATAAATTATAAAGAAAAGAAATTTTTTGGCTCACAGTTCTGGAGGCTGGGAAGTTCAATATTAAGGCATTGGCAAGTTTGGCAATTCTGATTCCAAGATGCTTTGTTCTCTGGAGAGGAGGAAGGCCTCAGGTTCACATGGAGGAAGGGCAAAGAGAGAGAACCCACTCCCCAAAGCCTTTTTTATAGTATCTTTAATCCATTCGTGAAGGCTGAACCCTTGTGGCCTAATCACATCTTAAAGGTCCCACTTCCCAATACCGTTTATACTGGCAATTAAATTTGAACGTGAGTTTTGGAGGGGACAAGAACATTCAAACCATAGCATCAAAGGAGGAGATAAAGCACCTAAGTACATAAGCAACGTCACGCTGCGGCAAACACACTCAGATCTCCATTTCTGACAGTGTCATCAAAGATGTTCTGTGATGGGACACGGTGGTCACCCATCGTGATGTCAGCCTCACAAAGCTGGACGCGGGCATGAATGCCACTGGCTTCCTCTGAACAACTTCTTATGCTTGCCATGTTCTCAACTTTACTTAAAAATTCTTTAATCAATGTATATTTTCAGTCTATATCTGTGTTTAACTACCTAATGTGGAAACCTCAAACTTCTGCTGTTTTGGGGAACTCCCAAAGGTACCTCTCGAAAATAGAAAATCCTTTTCTACCTTTTCTAGATTTGATTAACTTGTTTACTTCTAGACTTCAACCACATCCTCCTGTTCATCATATCTCTTAACACATTTATTCCTAAACACAGTCTGATCCTCTTACTGCATCTTTAGTGCAGAATCTTCTCTTTCCTTTTTCAGTGATTTACCTTGGACTTTCTTCATTGCTGTTATGTCTGTCTTGGGATGCAGCTGCCCAAACTGCATGCAGCACTCCAGGTGGCATGACGAGATGATATCCCGAGTTCAAAGTTCAAAATGGTAAACACTGTAGTATAGTCCACAAGTGACACACAGTGGCAAGCTGTCAGGCTCACCTTTGTTAGACTGAACGCTAATAGCTAGTCAAAATGTTTTGAAAACAATTGTCTAACATTAATCAATCACTGATGGTTCCAGTAAAGATTTCTATGGTTAGACCCTTTATTGATTTTAGAATCAATAAAGTGTACTCACAGGTGAAGAAAAGGATTCTTCTCGATTAAAACTGAGGTGTGGGAGGAGCTTTCCATCGGACTAGATACAAAAGGAAATTTACCTCCTTTGGCATTTCAGGAGCAGCGCTCTACAGGCCACTTCCTGACCCCATCGTTCAACACTGCTTATCACTAATTGGGACTGTATTTATTCTCATAATCTTTAAGTCAAAGAAGCAATGGTTTTCAATTCATGCCTGTTAATTCGCATTAGTCCAGAGGCTGCAACAGTATGTAAGAGGTGAGCTACCAGATTAACCTTGAATAAAACACAGGCCGTTTGTATTTCAATCTTTCATGAGCAGTTTGTTTGATTCTAGCACAAATTTTATAAGTCTGAAAAGCATAGTTAAACCATTTGTCCCATGTTGTGGTCTCATTACCTCAACCTAACTCTCACCTCTTATTCTGAGTGCTAGTATGTACGTGCACGTGTGTGTGTGTGTGTGTGTGTGTGTGTGTGTGTGTGTGTGTGTGTGTATACTATAGGGGCACCAAGGAGCAAGAAAAAGAGAAATATTTAAAGTCATAATTCGGTTTACTTTGTGAGATGAAAGTGACAAACTGTTCCATTTTAGCTCTTAAGCTGTTCCTTATTTAAAAATGTGCATAACTATAACTCAGAGAGCTTTATGAGTAACAAAAGAAATTGTATATTCCAAGCATGTCCTAAACTACGGTGACTTTATAGAGATGCTCATGAGCATTGTGTCATTACCATGCTGCAAGGTCTTGCTCTGCAAGGCAAGAGAGGCAAGGTTCATTGTACCAAGGTGTCATCCTGTAAATATTTGGGGTTTAAAAAATCAAAAAAGTAAATGAGACTTTGTGTTTCAGATGTGACAGAAGCTGATGAAACAGTGTTTAAGTGTGTTGCTCTGGGGTTTCAGGCACAGTCTGGGCCAGACTGCTTGGGTTCAAATCCTGCCTCTTCTCAGCTATGTGATCCTGAATAAATTATCAAAACACTCATTAGCATCTCCATCTATAAAATTAAATAAGAATAGTTATTATTTCATTGCTATTAAGAAGATTCAAAATGATAATAAAGGATAAAAAGTCTCAGTTATACGAGATGAATTATTCCCAGACATCTACTGTACAGCATAGTGCCTATAGATAATAATATGGTGTTGTATACTTAAAAATTTGCTGAAGGCACATCAAGTATTCTTACCACAAAAATAGTAATTATGTATTCATTTATTAATAAGGTGGGAGAAAACTTTTTGGAGGTGATGAATATGTTTATGGTATAAACAACAGTGATGGCTTCACTTATATATGATTATTTCCAAACTCATCAAGTTGTGTACAGTAATATGTACAGTTTTTTGTATGCCAATCATACTTCAATAAAGTGGTTTTTAAAAAATTCTTATTCTGCTACTTACTATTTCTGTGATTATGGAAGATTGTATTTTCCAGGGCTGGCTGCAGTGACATCTCCCATCCCCCATGCTCTTAACACACCGCATCTTCATGTTCATCCTTTAATGGTGAGATGTCTTCTCCCTTGAACCTGATAGAGCTTTATGATTGCTCAGACAACAGAGCATGACAAAAGTGACGCCTATAACTTCCATGGCTTGATCACAAAAGTGGCCTGCGCTTCCACCTTGCTTGGTTGGAGAGCTTACTCTTGGCACCCACTACCACTCTGTGAGAAAGCCCAGACTAGCGCATGTAAAGAGAACACAGGGCCAAGCCACGTGTGGCTGTTCCTGCCAAGAGATGAGCTAAGAGCCCAGCCAACAGCTACGTCAGCTACCAGATGTGTAAGTGAAGACATCTCCAAAAGAGTACAGCTCAGACAACAGCCCCCCTCAGCCCTAGACACCATGTCCCTACTGTGCCCATCCAAAATTCCTGGCCCACAGAGTCTTCATGATTAGTAAAATGGTAGTTGTATACCAATAAGCTCTAGAGTGGTTGACTGTGCACCATTAACTGGACAGCAACCTTGGTGAGTTACACTGTCTCACTAACCTTAGCCCTCTCCAGTCTTTAGCATGGGAAACAGGGCCTGCTGTAGCACGGGGCTGAGGCAGCTCTATGCCACAGCCAGCAATATGACAGCGCCTCGCTTGGGGTCTTTGTGCTCGCCTGCTCTGCAGATGTTGTGGTGCTAATGGAGAAAATGCATAAAAATGGAGAATAGGAGAAAAGGAAACAGAATAAAAACACCAAAGACTCCTGAAGAATAAAAACATTAAGATTATCTACAGAGGAATTTTAGAAAGTTTTGCAGAGAAACATATTTTAGGATATAATTCTAGAAAGTTTTGCTACATGTCTTATTGCCATATACTTGAAAACATTTCTTAGTACTGTCAAGGCAGTTTTAGGAAGCTCAGACATTATTTTCCAGTGATTTGTATAAACCTCTGCGTTTATTTTGGATATGACACTGTGCTGAATGGTCCTGAAAGCACAGGCCAGAGGATCCAGTTTTACTTGAGTTGCACCAAAATAAATATAGTGCTCGAGATACAGTTAGTGAGAATCTGATAGGATCTCAAATGATAAGTACCCAATGACGGAATAATATTTGATCATTAATCATACGTCTGACATGTAAACTCTTATTAGCGTTTTCTTTTCTTCACATAATATTACTTCCTAATACCTTACTAGAAAACATACCATTGTATTTGAATTTCATCCAATATTATTTTTTACATGAGAAAAATAGGTCGTTTTAATTCTTTGAAAACACAAAGGTTCTAAAAGATCTCGCTCTGTCACCTTGGCTAGAGTGCAGTGGCGTCATCATAGCTAATTGCAACCTCAACTCCTGGGTTCAAGCAATCCTCCTAGCTCAGCCTCTTGGGGAAGCTGGGACTACAGGTATGTACCACCATATCCAGCTATTTTTTAAATTTTTTATAGCGTTGAGGTCTTACTAAAAACACTGTGCATGAGCCAAGAATAATACAAAGAAGTATACACTTTGCTTCCTTTCTCAAAGAGCCTATATTCTACTTGCAAAGAAAAAGAGTAAGCATAAGAACAAGCATCTCCCTAAAGTTTAATTTATAAATTAGTAATATAATAGCAACTCATAATAAAGTAGAACAATTATAACAACATACTATAATAAAAATAATGTGAATGTCTCTCTCTCCCTCACAATATCTCAGTGTATTGTATCATAAGTAACTGAAATCTCAGAAAGAAAAATTGCTCATAAGGAGAGACTACTGTAAACCATAAATAAATATATGAGGGTCAGATTATAATTTAAGCCAAACATAGAAGACTTCTCATAGAACATGTCAAAGGAACAATACAGGTCACAAGTGTTACACAAAGTACTGGCTAGATTCTGGAAAGATTTGGAAACATTTCCCGTAGATCAAAGTGCTAAGCAAAGTACTAAACAGATGAAGGAGAAATAAGATCAGGTACGCAGAAAGGAGAAAAGGCATTCTGATCCAGGGAATAAAGCTGAAAAGCTATTTTTTGGTGTTGTTTGGTTGTTTAGTTTGCTTAGCTTTGATTTCCTTTTAGTAAACTGACTGTAGCAGAGAAGACGTGCATAAGAGAACTCAGGAATAAAAGTAAAGAAGGCAGACAAGAGTGAGGCTGCAGTGAGTTCAAACTATGCCCTATGGCCATCAAGGAATGAGTAACAACTTTAGAAAGAAATAGAAAGATAAAATATTTTGCAACGCCTAATCTGAAGGCACCGTGTAGGATGGATTGTAGGGAAAACTGGAAGCAAGGCAACTTGTTATTAGTTACTTTCAAGTATGTGATCATAAGGGTGTGAATCATTCAAAAACCATAAAAATTTAAAGGCTGGAAGAACATTTTGATATCACTGAGTACAGTCCCTTGATTTAGAAATATTGAAACTTTAGACAAATCGCATGACTATACAAGCCAGTAAGCGCCAGGTGTAAACTAGAAACAAAATCCTCAGATTCTAATTCTACCCCTCTTTTGATACAATGAAATACCTCATAACTATACATTATTAAATGTCCTGAAAATTGATTAAATCACCTCAGGTTTCATCTGAACCACCGTATCTCATTGGAAGCCAGGGTTCAAGACACCTGAAGAGAATAGATTTTAGGATGTCTTTGAGTTCTCATGTTCCAGAATTTATCTGTAAGATAACATCACATTCATGAGTTTACATCAGAATAATAGTAGTACATTTATACAGACCTTGTCACAGTGTATCTTATATAAATCATAACTGAAATTTTTGTCATAATAAATTCAGTATTGAGACAGAGAGTAAAATTACTGGTTTATTCCCTATTCTTAACAGTTAAGGACAGATCTTGACAGGCATTCAAAAAGTGTGTACACAAGGCCATTTACCAACATTTTATTACATCTCAGTTACTTACATATGTTCATTTCTGCTTTGTTTCTGCAATGTGTTTAGAAGTCAATAAAAAGTGGAGGAAGACGACAGAAATGGAAGCTCAACCTGTATTGTGGTAGAAACTGTGGAAACCATATTCAGTTAACACTGCAGAGCCATGAAGTTATTCCTATCTCCCAGAAAAATCACAAGTCCATGGTATTTGGAGTGCATTACAGAAAGGCTTTTCTGATAAATTTTGGATAAAGGAATAGGTTTAGATTAAGAACGATTCTATAATTTCAGGATTCAATGCAGTTAAATGTTTTTGTTTTAAATATTGTTCTCTGTGTGTCATCTGCCAAATACTTAATGCTAGTATTGAGCCAATTTATAAATAACTGTGAGATTTTTATGCTGAAAAATATGCTTATCTTCTTATAGCAAACATGAGGCTGTTCAGTTCAATGATCATGACCAAAGCTAGGACATTAATCAGTTGCAATATCCCTAATTGTTCCCAATAAATAGTATGGACTTCTTAGAAATAGGTATCTTAAGCTAAACTCCCAATACTCCTAAATTAATGTCATCAATGTCCCAATTGCCTATGTTACAAAAAATAAAATAAATTTGTTTAACCAAAATGTTCAAATAGTGGAGTTATAAACATTATTTCACTCAATATCTCATATTCTTCCTGGCCTATCTCCCAAATGAAACCATTCTGAAATGCAAACAATCTGCAACTATTGCCTTACACTTATGTATATATATTGCATGCATACCTGCGTACCTCTATGTGTTTTACAGATATATAATCTAATAAAATAACTTTCCAAACTTGTAGCACTTAAAGCAATTTCACATTAACTATTTCTAGAAACTCTTATGTGGACACCATTTAAAAATATTATCAAAATTACTTTTTTTCTCTAAGTCAACTAGGTGCTGAGTATGTGTCTTTGACTGCATCCTCCTACACTATTTGGTTGTGAGCTATTTCACATTTTTACCATTGCACCAAATAGAAACAATCCCCAAATCAGTCCAATGTAAGATACACTCAGACAGTAACATGTAAATATGCACGAAGATTCAGAGGGAAGGGCTTTCTAAGGCTTCTTTGAACACCTAAAATACAGGAGAAATGATTTCAATAGTAAAAGAATCAGCAGGGACAGGAAAATGCCAACTCTGATTAGAAGCCTTGAAAGTACTAACTGCAGCATCTCAAGGCAAAATAGGATTTTCAATAACTCACCCTGCATCACGGCACTGGTAAGTGGTAAGAGGTGATTGGAGGGGAAATAGAATTTGACCTCTTCTTAGTGAGTAAAAGAAGTTCATCCATTGAACTGGAAGCTTTTAGTGGAGTTCTTGGAAGACAAAGCTACATGCTTGAAAGGAACAGAGAGTGCACCGCTTCACCGTGCCATCACAGAAGGCACTTCAATCAGTTTAGATTTGATTGAAATTCAAAAAATTCCTGCAGAACCACTGAACCTTTAAGATTCAAAATTTCTCATAAATTCCTCTTTATTAAATTCAAGACACACAGATCATTGCTAAATGAATTAGGGCCTTCAGAAAACATTATGGCATTGTACAGCATATCAAAGCATATTAAAAACTATCTCTACAAAAGAAAACGTAAAAATGGAATTTCTGAGATGTTAAAATGTTTGCCTTGCATTGAGTTGCCCACAAAATACACTCCTTCCTTTTTCCACGTGGCATTGGTTTCGTGTTTATTTTACTGAAAATTACTCATGTTAGAAAGTCTCAGGTAGACCTCACACTAGCTTATCTTATTTGACTTACCCACAAAAGATACAGTTTTCTAAAAATAAATTTTAAAGGAATGGTGGTACGGAAAAGGTAACATCCTATAGATGGTAAATAAGCGTTTTTTTTCTTGTGTTTGTGATAAACTTAGTTTCTTTTCTTAAAATTTTAACACCTACTTAGGATATCTTCCCTTTATCAGTGTAACCATGGTAACCTCACAAATCAAAGTTACTAGAGGGGAGTAATGGTTTGTCTACAATCTGTACCTTGAAACTAATTTGTAATTATTTAAAAGGAAGAATGAGTCTGCCTCTAAAGAATCTAATCTGACTCATCACTGATTCATTTCTTTTTATCCAGAGTGAGTAATGCACCAAATAGGCAGTAAATAAACACCTATTTTACGAATGAATAATAACAATAGAGAGGCAGATAACCGAATGAATCACAATACTACTCATCATTAAAATAGATATATTCACCAGAAACCCACTAAGGACCCACATAAATGTCCCACTCTGACAAAAAACACTAAGAAATAAAAGAAAAAATAATGTACATGAAGAAAGTGAGCAAACAGGAACTAATTAAGTAATGTTTGAGTGTGATCGTCAGAATAATACCTGCCCAAAACATCCATGTCCTAATCCTAGAAACTTGTGGCAAAAGGGTTTTTATATTAACTTACTAAACTAAGGACCTTGAGACAGGAAGACCGTCCTCAGCTATCGGGCGGGCCCACTGTCATTACAGGACCCTCTAGCAGCAAGGCGGGGGCGGCAGAGCCGCGGGCGGCGACGGGAGCGGAAGTGGGAGGCGCCGCGGGCGGCGACGGGAGCGGAAGTGGGAGGCGCCGCGGGCTTTGCGCCCAGGACGCGCGGCCTCCGGAGGCCGACAGGCGCGGAGACGGACTCTCCGGGAAGCTCCAGGAAACGCAGTCCTGCCAGCACACTGATTTTAGCCCACCGAAGTCCATTTCATGCATCCGACCTCCAGAAATATAAGATAAAAAATTTGTTGTTTCAAGTTTGTAGTAGGTTGTTACAACAGCAATAGGAAACTAATACACTGGACTTTTTTGCTTAATTTCTAAATCTGTTTTCAATAAATGGAATAATTTTCACTTAAAAATAACAAGAGTATGAGCAAAAGAACACAAATTAATATATGAAAATGTCTACCCGGTCCATTTTAAATGATACTGCTAATCCAATCGGGTAAGAATGCAGAGAGATATGTCTGGCTCATGTTAAGGGAGAATCTATTCAACTGTGACTTTTAAGCCAAAGTTAATTAAGCTGGAAATGCCACCTTCTCATCTGAAAGTTTTCTATCTTGCTGTTCAAAAATGTAGTTGTTAACAAAGATTACTTCAGATTTTTTAATTTAGAAATAGCTGCTTTTCTTCTTTGTCAGATCCTAATCACAAAGGAATTCATAATTAAAAATAACACTAAACCTACAAAGATAGAAAGGCAACAGTCCCACATTTCATTTAAATATGCAAATTTTCTTTATGATTCTTTTAAATGAACCTGCTTTCTCCATTGTGCAAGGATGATAAGTGTCCTATTGCACTAATAACCTTTCAATATTATTAACTATGTTTTCCTTTTATGTCTAAAATGAGTACCTGGTTGCTGGTTAAGAAAAATCTCTTGAGAGGAATGGCTGCTAAATGGTGTTTGTTTCTATAAACACAAAATATGTCATTAATCCAGTTTTATCCCAGAGAGGATAGTTGTTTACATGCATTATGGTGATTTTATTGTATCTTATTTAGGAATAATGGCAAACTAAAGCAACTGCATTAATAGAGTCTTGTAATAAAAAGTAACGTTTTTGCTATTCTAATTAGTTACCTTCATTTTATGAGAGAATGAAGCCAGAAAATGGTTACGTTTGAGTCTCTAAAAAGGAAAGCCTTCCATTGGCTTTTAGCACAGGTGTGCTGAGCTGCTACGCACTACTGTTAGAAGCAAGGCCAAACATTAGCTGAAAAGAGATGGTCACATCTCAAGACGTTTCCCAAAAACAATATGCCAAAAAAAAGCCTCCCACCAAAAATTGTATATTGAACAAATTGCCCCTTTGTGTAATTAACTAGCAATGTAGTTGGCTACTTGCCTTGTTATGGGACCAAATACAGGCATAATTAGTTGCATTTGAGCAGTTACGAACCTGTGGATTTAGATTCACATGTGTAAAAACAGTAGGTGCTATCAAAAATTTGCTCTTAGCAATTTGCAACTCACTTGAAACATAACTATGTATGCATTTTTAACTTACCTTTCTTTAATAAATACATCGGGTGTGTCCGATGTCCCTACACCTGCTACTTTTCATACTCTTCACCATCCTCTATGAATGAATGATGACATCAATGCTGTTTGCTGAGAATCTTTTTGTGAACAAACATATGAGAAAGACATTTACATGGAAACAGTTTCTTTGATCCTTATAAATGTCAGCTTTCTTTTCTATAAGCTACAACTATGAAATTGGATTCTTATTTTTAATAAAGTGAAGGGTTTATTCCTTTTTTTTTTTTTTTTACCTAAACAGCAACATGCCATTGATTTAATGTGAGATTTGTATCATCTTGATGGCTTTCGCAGGCATTAAGTGCCAACGAACCTTGATATACTGGAGCCAAAGTGGAATTCATTTTAGCATCTGGATAAATCTAAGGGTTGTAGTTTATATCTTAACTGTGGCCCAAGTAGAGGCCAGTGGCTCTCTAACGAATCACAAGTCAATAGGCTACGTATGAGTAAAGCGACATCCCAGTTGCCCTTTCGGAAGTGTAGATCAAAGGGGCGGGGGGAGAAAGCTGGAGGGGTTAGGAAAATGGCCTCTAACAGAATTGAACGCAGAAATAGTTTGGGCACGTTCTTGACCAACAACAAGCAGGTGCTATTACGCATGAGTACAGCACAGTTTACTTACAAGTTCCTATCGACAAAGGTTCAAGAGCAACTGTCGACTCCCTGCAGAAAGCAGTTGGGGCTGGCTGGAATACAAATCTTGTGTGTGTGCAGCTGCGTCTCCAGAGCACAGGACCTGAGTCTGTCAGGACACAAGCCTGTGTCTCTTGTGGACAAGCCTGCCCCACACACCAAATGTAATGCCTGGCACATGGCAAATATTTGTTGAATGATGATGAATGGGTCACTAATTCAGACTAATGAATGTACAGTAAATTGCAACCATCAGCTCTTCAAGACCACTAGAAAAACCAGCTTTGAACAAAGCTATAATTATTATTAGACCTACGGCATTAAGGGAGAGTACCACATTAGTAGATTTGTGTGTTGTCCAAAAGAGGGAGGGTTCTATAGAAAGCACATGCATAGAGTCTATGGCCTTGCCTAGGTAATTTTAAGGTGAGTCTTACAAAGCAGGGAACTGGCTAGAATTGCGCAGAGTCAGACATAGCATCTTTGAATTAATGAGTGCAGTGTGGCAACAGTCTTGAAACATGTCTTTATGAGCAAACTGCTAATATCAATGTATTAGCCAGGGTTCTCCAGAGAAACAGAACCAACAGGATGTGTGTATACGCGTACACACACACACACACACACACACACACACACACACACACACACAGACCTACTATTCATATAAGGCACTGGATCATGAAACTACAGAGGTGAACAAGTCCCGATATCTGCAGGGTGGGGTAGCATGATGGAAGGGAGGAGCTGGGGGTTTAGCTCCAGTCTGAGTCTGAAGGCGGAGAACCAGGAGCGCAGTGGTGGCACGGTTCCAGGTCAGAGGCCAGCAGGCTGGACACCAAGAAAGAGCTGACATGTCTGCTGAGTTAGAGGCAGGAAAGCACAGACATCCTCATTGCTACCAGGCTGGAAGAATTCTTTGTTACTCTCAGGAGGGTCAGCCTTTTTGTTCTATCCATGCCTTCAACTTATTGGACGAGGCTCACCTATATTTTGGAGGGCAATCTAATTTACTCAGTCTACTAATTTAAATGTTAACCTCACCCAAACACATCCTCACAGAAGCACCCAGAATAATGTATGACAAAACATCTGGGCACCCTGGGGCCAGGCAAGTTGCCCCATAAAATTAACCAACACACTTGGTAAGTACGCTATTTTAGTGGAATCAAATTGTTATCTTCCAGGAGTCTATAGCTGTGTTTGCTTGTTCTTAGCACAGTTACACATAGGAACTGAAAATATGCCCTATCCCAGTAGAGTTTAATTATGTTGGTTCCAGTTCCTAAATGTTTATCTTACTGTTAGAATTTCATGTTTAAAAAGAAAGTAGTCCTTAAACCAATGCAGTCAGATTTCCTATCCATGAGATCTTATTGTTATTGTATGACTAACAAAGTTGACATCACACCTTTAAATGTGAAAACTGTTAATAGTTTGGGGTTAGCCAGATATGGAATATCTTCACATAATACATGCAGGTAACTGGGAAAATATTTCAGAGTTTAAAACAAACTAGACAACTGTCTCAGCCCACACCTGACAATGAGGTGCACCCTCATTGCCTTGCTACAGTCAGCCTACGTAGAGCAAATAAAGTGAAGTCGGAGAATTCCCAGGTAACGTGAGCAAAATAGAACTCCTAATCGAGCAATTCAGGTCCTAAAGGAGAACTTTCGTTCCGAGGGGAGGCGACTTAGCAGAGGGGACGACCAGGTCCCTATTGCAGCAGATGGGGCTGGGCGCCTCGCAGCCCTGCGGTTCGCGGGGCAAGGCCACGCCCATCAACGTCACCGCATCCCTGGTTGCCCGCGACGCGCCACGCCACGCAGACGGCCTGCAAGGCCCAGGCCCGCCCGCGCCTCCCGGGAAGAAACTGCCGCCTCTGATCTAGTTAGATACCTAAACAGGCAGGAGCTTTACTAACTGCTGTTCCATGAAGAACAAGTCTAAATATTCCTCTGTAACAACTGTTCTCAGCTCATTGTATTCTGTCATAAAGCTTTTTCTTCTTAAATATTATTTTATTCATTTTTCATGTTTATTTTAAACGTGATCTTCCATCAAGATTCTAAGCTCCCTTAGCCACCTTTTTCTCAGTTTCTGCAATGAAAAAAATAATTAAGTCCCAATAAGTTTGAAGTAACAGTGACAATAGTTTAATGTATATAAAATAAAAAATATAACACTTAGCTGTAATATCTCTAAAGGCGTCTTACTATACTGGTAGGTATGCTTTCATGTACTATACTTTGGACCCATGATAATGTATATTAAATGAATTGTTAGAGATAAATATTTGTCCCTCAAATGCTAATTTATTGATGATTACTGCTAACTTGCTCTCACAGTGACAAAGCACCAGCACAATCGTTGAATGAATATTTATCTATGATGAATATTCATTTAATCCATATCTTTACAAGGAGCTTCACGACTGACAAGGCAATCAACAAGCTATTTCATGCCCATTTTAATTCTGGGTTCACTTGCTTTCTTCACGCCATGGCTTAAGCAGGCGAAATTCTGTATGTTTGTGGTTTGATTTGGGAAGTGTTAGTCTAATCTGTGTCCTACCTTAGCTCTCTTAAACGCAAAATATAACTCCAAGAAAAGTGATTAATTAGTTCACAGATTTGCCATCTGCTTCATTCAAGTCTGACAAGGAGAGAAGTGACAAATTTGGACTAAAGAAAATGAATGTTAATTAGGTTGTGATTCTACCCTTTGAAACAAAAAAAGAGGGGTGAGCCTTCTATGCGAGTCAGTGGTACACTGATAAATGTTTAACAACTGCCTTTTTCCAGCTTTATTGAGGAATAAT